GTATTACTCACATTTGGAAAGCCAAACTCTGGACCACAAAATTGTTTCCATAAAGGAAGCATTTTATTAGTAAGTAGCACCACGTGGGGAAGACAACAGTCAGCACTCAGAAAAGGCTGCCTCCTGTGTGTCAAGTTAAGGAAGATTATATAGGATAGAAACTAATGTGGGAACATGTAGGAGTGGGGAGTTTCTTCATTTTCAGGTTGGGAAGGTGCAGTGGCTGTCCGGGGGTAGTTGATCCCAGATTATTGATAATATTTCTAGAATGGTTGCTCTATTCTTTGTTATCAATTAAGATGACCCTTGTTGTTTGTCAGGCACAGATGCTATCAGCATCCTTGGAAGGAACAAAAATAGCTTATTAAAGCATCAGGCAGTCCACTATCATAGCTCTGACAAATGGGTTCTAAAGCAGGGCTTCCATTCCTGATTCAGGTCAACCACAAGTTCAAGAACACTAGACAAATTATCAGAAATTACCAGTGGCTTATCAAAATAAATAGCATTTATCTTTCTAGATTGCCAGTGCTTGTTCTTAATACATGGTAAATTTGGACTAGAGCACAGAATTCTGGATCTCCCAGATCACATCTGTCTTGTTCTCTATTGAATTTTTATTATAAAGTATGGTGCTTCAGTTATAATGAGTCCTCAAGAAAATATTTTAATGGAGTAACCGTTCTTTCAACATCATCATCAACACTATCTTCCCGAGCACCTGATTTTTGCAGGGAGCTCAGCAAAGTCGTTTCTCCATCTCTACTTCGTCATAGACAGCAATGCCCATCAGCCTGTAGATTAGCACCCTCCCCAGTCCCTGAGTCTGTGTCAGAAGACTTTGGCACATGATTCTTCCTTATCAGTGGGTGGATTCTGGAGTACCTCTTTTTGCTATAAGTGCAGCATCTGCAATACCCGAATAAAACCTCAGAGTGAGATGCTTGTATGCTTAGACCTCCCAGCCTCATTCCTGTGCTTGGAGTATATCCATCTTCTCCTGACTGGCAGGGGTTTTGCTTCAACAATGATCAACCAGAGGACAGTCTGACTACAAGTTCCTCTACCTGGTGCCTTCTATTTTGCTTCATGCACAGACTGGACCCTTCTACTATGCTGCATGCACAGACTGGCTTGGATAAATTAATAATAACTGATTATGTGCTTGGCATAATTCTAAATGTGTTGCCTTTTTTAGAATTTCATCTTAATCACCACCCTATGAAGAGAATACTATTGTTATACTCATTTTATTTTATTTTTTAAGATTTATTTATTTATTTATACAAGCACTGGGTACAGTCAGAATCATGGGAGGGTGAGAGAATTCACCAGAGCCAGAGCGGGGAACAGAACAGGCAGACCTACAAAATACACTGCTGAGGGGAGCAGCGGGCACAGCAGGAGAGGTCTGTTGCCCCATGTGGGATCCTCCCCTGGTGGCCAGGGATCGAACCGGTGCTGCAGAGGCTGTGGGCAGCTTCACAGCCCAGCGCTCAACCGCTGCGCCACCAGGGGAGGCCCTATACTCATTTTAAAGATAAGGAGATTGAGTACAGAAAGTCAGAGAAAATTTCTCTGAGGTTAAACAGCAGCATGATTCAATTTAGGTCATCTGATTCCAGAGGCCATATCCCTAAGTAGCATGGCCTAACTAGTATCCCTTTATGCAAGGAGAATGTGCAGCCATTACATTAAACCATTGCAGCTGCTGGATATTCTGTTTTGTTGGGAGGCCCTGTGAACATGCTGTAAAATGGCTGGGAACGACCTCTCCCTTCTTTAGCAGACAAGAGAGCAAAACTACCTGCATAGACTTGAAGTGTGTGAAACAAGGATGCAGAATCTGTGCCTGTGGGTAAAGTCATCTTTTCACTCCCTACTGGTAACCAAAGAAGATTTAAATAACTGGCACCCAGCCTTTGTGCCTCCACAGTGCATTCTTTACAAAGGAAGGACATTGCCCCCCCTCTGCACATAGATAGCATCAATATATCTTTAGGTCAGAGCAACTGAGAACAAACCCCCCCCCCCCCCCCCCCCCCGTGAAGAATAATTACAGTTTTAATGTAAATGACTCATTGTTCCTTCCTATTTAAAATAAACTCAAACTTCTGTTTGTGGAAACAGTTCTCACACAGTAAAATCTATTGGACTGCTTCCTGGGTTAGAAACATCACTTTGATTATCTAATAAACTAATTATCTAATTGTCATTGACTTATTTCCATTACAATGGTGTCATTAGCTTAATGTCATTACAACCTAGAATTTTGAATATCAGCTCTTCCCTTTGGGCATGGTCAGGGAGATTCTTGGCCATCTCTAGCAACCTGCTATGCAGCTAAGCTCTGTGATGCCATTCCTCCTGTTTCTAAACTCTATTGCTCCTAACTAGTTCCACAATTGAGGGTAGAGCAGAGGCTAGAGAAGCTATTAAGAGAAACGAAATAAGGCTTTTGGTCCCAATTTTGTTAGAGAGACCTTGCGTGTAACAATAGATAATGCCTGATTTGAGGTAGGTTACATAAGATACCAGTTAAGAGGAACAGGCAAAGTCACAGAGAAGTTCAAAGAAGGAAAAATCACTGAGATTGCTCACAAAGGAGGTGGAACTTGAGTTGAATCTTGAAGGAAAAATTGGGTCAATAATATGATGAAGAGATACTGTGAACACCATGTATCCAACAACCAGCCTAAAATCAACCAAGGCTGTCGGCAGAAATGACTGATAATCAGCAAAGTTCAAACTCTAAAACTCTTGCTAGGTTGGTGTTGATTAAATGTGAAAGTGAAATTCTTTCCTGAATATATCTTTTCTGAACATGCACACACAAAAAAAAAACTTTCCTCTTATGTTTAAAACTAAGAATAGTGAAGTTTTTAAGTTCTTCTAGCAACTCTGACTCATACATGTACAGGAAGAGGATGACCAGATGAGTTCTTGCTATGTCCAAGAAACTGAAATAGAATCCCAAATATAGGATACTGTTGGGACCAAGACAGACTGCCGCAGGATGTGCCTTAGTGGCATGTGATTAAGAGACAGAAGATCCAGAACGTTGTTTTACTTATCTATCTCCCCCAAACTGGGAAAAATCTGATGGTTTGGGAAGTGGGTGATAGCTTTATAACCTTACCCCATGTCTGTTTTTGGTCCGTATGTAGATGAACCCTGCAAATTAAATTTTCTTTAAATTTAAATTTTTTCCCTCTTAAACTTAGTGCACCCTTTCTAGAGATAATATAACTTTACCCACATGATCACGGGCTCTCTGGACATAAAATTGAAATTTGTCATTTCTCTTGTTAATCTCTCTGGTGACAATTATTTTCCAGTCCACAACTATAAGGGTAGAAGGAGATTATCTCCCTCCCTGACATTATCTAGGGGTAAAAGTGTATGTTCATATGTTCATATGGGGAAGATAGGTGAGTTGACTTCTTTAGAGCAGAAGGGTTGCATGTGCAGGAAAGTACTCAAATCCAAGAGACTAGATTTGAATTCAGTCTTCAACCTTTGTTAAGACTTTCAGATATATCACTTAAACACTCAGTCTTAGGCTGTTACACCTGCTATAATAAAATACAATAAACCAGGTGGTTTATAAATACCAGAAATTTATTGCTTATGGTTCTGAAGGCTAGGGAGTCCAGTGTTAAGGTGTAGGTATAATCAGTGTCAGGGAACCCACTTCCTAGGTGTTGTCTTTTCTGCTACACTTTCACATGCCAGAGGGACTAAGGAGCTCTGTGGGATCTCTTTTATAGCAGCACTAATCCCATTCATGAGGACTCCACTCTCATGACCCAAGCAACTCTCAAAGACTCCTCCCCTGAATACCATTACCTTGGACATTAGGTTGCAATATGATTTTGGGAGAACATCAACATTCAGTATATCCTTCATAGGGTCCCAGTTTATTTTACTGTGAGGAAGTGCAGTGGTTGAATACCGATTGGGCTTTGCTACCGGCTGCCTGAGTTCAAATAGCCAACTCTGCAATGTCTTAATGGCAAAATCTTTTTTTTTTTTTAAAGATTTTTCTTTTTTTTTCCTTTTTAAAATATTTATTTATTTATTTATACAAGTACTGGGTACAGTCAGAAGCGCGGAAGGTGAGAGAATTCACCAGAGCCAGAGCGGGGAGCAGAGCAGGCAGAAGGACCGAAGCACACTGCTGAGGGGAGCAGCGGGTGGCAGGAGAGGTCTGCGTGCCATGCGGGACCCTCCTCCGGTGGCTGGGGAGCAACCGGGGTTCGAACCGGCACTGCAGGGGCTGCGGGCAGCCTCGCAACCCAGCGCTCAACTGCTGCGCCACCAGGGAGGCCCAATGGCAAAATCTTGAGGAATATTTTTAAACCTCTTAGGGCTCCCATTTTCTCATCTGTAAAATGGGGTAAATAATAATGCATAATATTATTACGGGAATCAATGGCTTAATTTAAAAATTGAAATAATGCCTAGCATAAACTGCTCAACAGGTGTTAGTTATTATTAAAAGCTGCCAAATGGAGATAATGGCAATTACCTCTTTTTTAAAGATTTATTTATTTATTTATTTATTTATTTATTTATTTATTTATTTATTTATACAAGAACCGGGGTATAGGCCAGATGTGTGGGAGGGTGAGAGGATTCACCAGACAGAGTGGGGAGCAGAACAGGCAGACTGACAAAATACACTGCTGAGGGGTGCAGCGGGCATGACAGGAGAGGTCTGCAGAGTTTGGACATATGCATGTATCCATGAGACCACCACCAAGTCAAGGTGATAAGCATATCCATCTCCTCCAAAAGTTTCCTCATGCTTCTCTCCCCCTTTCTTATGTGATAAATATACTTAACATGAGATCAACCCTCACAGTAAATTTTTAAGTGCACAATATGCTTCTGATAATTATAGGCACTGTTGTATCTTAGATCTGAACTTATTCGTCTTGCAAAACTGAAACTTTACATCCATTGAACAATACTTTCTTTTTTCTCCCTGCTCCCAGCCCCTGGCAGCCACCATTCTACATTCTGCCAGCCACAATTCTGCATTCTGCCACATATAGGCAAAATTGTGCAGAATTTGTTCTTCTACTGGCTTATATCACGTAAGTATTAAGTCCTAAAGGTTTGTGTATGCTGTCACACATGTTAGGATTTATTTAATTTGTGAGGTGAATAATATTCAATTATATGTATATCCCACATTTTCTTTATTTATTACTGATGGACACTTGAGTTGTTTCCATATTATGGCTGTTGTGAATATACTGCAATGAATATGGGAGTTCAGAAATCAAAGAAGACATAAAAATGGCCAACTGGCATATGAAAAGGTGCTTTACATCACTAATAATCAAAGAAATGAAGCCAAAACCTTGAGTATTGGGACACAAACTCAAGCCTTTATAATCTGAAAATGACTACCATATGCAGAGGGCAGGGAGAGACTATGGATGAGGTACATCACTTCAGATTGGTGGGTGGTGGCTTTATTTAGCAGGGGGCTGACTCATGAAGTTTTACCATCGGCAGCCACAAGAAAAGAGTTTCAACACATCCAAATCTTAAAGAATTTATATAGAGGCTTTAACTATGATTAGTCATGTGTGCTGTGCAGATAGCCTCAACAACACGTCACATTTTTTTCCCCCCAAATTTTCAAAATTGAAACAGCTCTGGGAAAGCACATTCCCAGGATAAGGAAACCAGAGGCCTCTGGTTTCTGGGTACAGGTTGCAGGTCAAACAGGTGGTCTCATTCTTTTCATTGTCTTTCCTAACAATGAGGCAACAACCTCATACTCTTTAGGATGGATTTTCTGAAAGCTACAAAATATAAGTGTCCATAAGGATGTAGAAAAAACAGCTTTTGTATACTGCTGGTGGGAATGTAAAATGATACACCCTCAATGAAAAATAGTATGGAGGTTCCTTAAAAACTTAAAAATAGCACTACCATATGATTCAACAGCCCCACTTCTAGGTATATAGCCAAAGGAATTGAAATAGGAATTGTCTCTTTCCCCTCATTTCCCTTAGATTTCATATGTATCATCCACAGATGCTCATTATGGTTGTGCATATGCAACATTTGTACAGAAAAGATCACTACATTTTATCTACTCTTCAGAACACTTTAGTCATTTTGCTTGGAAAACATGATCTTTGCTCCCCAAATTAATGATCATTAGCAGGCAAGGGACCCCAGGCAATTGGTGATATTATGCTAGATGCCTGGAAGGATGATAGATTATTCTGGTTCCTAAAACCCCCAGAAGCTTTTCCTCTACAACTTTCCTCCAAGAAGAGTTTCCAATATTTGTGCTCTATAATTTTTAATTGATGTATCCAATTTTGGAACTTGATGGGCTCTGGAATTGGATCTCTAATATCTAAATTACATCTCTGCTACTTAGCTGTGTGACTGTCTTCAACTCAGTTAAATTCTTTGTGCCTCAAAGCTCTCATGTGTAAAATGGGAACAAAAATAATGCTTGCCTTCTGGGATCATTGTGAAGATAACAAGAATTATTCTCAAGTATTTAGAATAGTACTTGGTACATAAGAAGCCCTAGATATTTGTTAGCTATAATTAAATCTGACATTGTTTCCTTAAACATCTTTTTCTCAGGGAGGGAATATTGTCCTTTTCCTGGATAAAACTGTGTCAGATTCCAATAAAATTCAGTCTCTTTAAGTTTCAAATCAATTGATACCTGCCATATTTAACATTAGTCAAGACTGAGATTAAAAGATCCCATTTTAACATCGTATTATTTTTTAAAAAACCATTACTGGGAGCAAGAAAGTTCACAGAACTCTGTTTTCTTCACATCATCTCATGCTGCTAGAGATTCAGCACCATGAAGAAAAATGTCCGGCAATCTCTATTTTGAAGAATACTGGAGAAGAATCACCTATATCGAAGCAATTAGTAGTAAAAGAAGAGCTGGGTCAAATCTCAGTCAGAAGATGGCAGAAGTCCCAAGTCTTAAACTGGCGGCTCAGTATTAGTCTATTTTCTTTGTTTTTTATTTCATTAAATCACTGGTAAAGGATGCCAATATTCAGCCCTAGGGACATGGTTAAAAGCTTTCTAGATTGATAGCTACAAGATCTTGAGTTGAATAACATTCTGAGGTTTAATAGTGGTTTTCTGAATACAAGTAATACTTAATGCTTTTAATTTAGCTACAAGAATAATCATGAGTATGGATTTATATGAATGCAAGTTGGACATTTGTGGTAGGATTCATGATGGTCCAATAAGGGAATGGCTAAGAATCCTTTTGCATTCACAATAATCATCATCATCATCATCATCATCATCGTCATCATCTTCATCTTCCTCCCTTTGCCCTTTTGAAATCCATATCCACTACTTGTTAAGTAGTTCTTTTATCACCAGAAAAAAATTATAGTATTGTGTAGTGATGAATGTTAATTAGACTTATTGGGGTACTCATCTTACAATGTATAAAAACATTGAATCATTGTATTGTGCACCTGCAATTATTATGGGATATGTCCAATACACTAAATGTGCCACTTAGAAAGAAATTAACCTAAGTATGGGCCTCCCTGGTGGTGCAGCGGTTGAGCGCTGGGCTGCGAAGCTGCCCGCAGCCTTTGCAGTGCTGGTTCTATCCCCGGCCACTGGCGAGGATCCCACATGGCGCGCAGACCTCTCCTGTTGCCCGCTGCTCCCCTCAGCAATGTATTTCATCAGTCTGCCTGTTCTCTTCCCCGCTCTGGCTCTGGTGAATTCTCTCACCCTCCCGTGCTTCTGATGGTACCCAGTGCTTGTATAAATAAATAAATCTTAAAAAAAAAAAAAGAAATTAACCTAAGTAAAAAATACTTGGCATTGCTGAGGCAAGAGTAAATAGGTGCTTTTATATAATCCAGGTGGAAGTGTAATTGTTAGTCTTTTTAAAGAATAATTCGATAAAAGAAAATGCTATCAATTTCCTCTTAAGGTAAGGGTCCATTCCTGGTGATCAAAAACCAAAAACTCAGAAATCAGGTTTTATTTAACAGATGAAGAACCTTTTTGCTTGAATAGCAATGGTGAAGGATGAACTTGTGTTCACAAGCACATTTTTCCCGAGCTTGAGGGAGAGATTTCTTTAATTTGGCAGACTGTTGGAAAAAACCATGCAAAGATATTTGTTCAAAGGCAATTTTGTAAGTGAAGGCATTTTAATGTTTAACAATAAAGGACTTACTAAATTATCATATATGAAAGTTATGGGAACTTTATGAAATCCTTTAAAATTAGGAAATAAGCCTATATTTGTCAAAACAAAAAATGTTCAAGGAGGCATATGTACAGTGGGATATATGGAATTAAATCTTTTTTTTTGTATATTTATGTATAATATGTATTGGTCAGGAAAAACTGCTATCTTCAGAGTGGTTTTTTCTGAGTAGTGGAATTTTGAATGATTTCCCCCTTTTCAATGCCTGTTTCTTCAAATATTAATTATGAACATTTAAAAAGAAGTAACTAGAAGAGTTTTTCTGTGATCTAAAAGCAAGATATATAGTAAAGGAGAAAACTATACACCCGCCCAAATTTAAATACATCAGAGTATAAGAGAAAAATATAGCTTAGTACTAATGGAAAAAAAACAGAAATGGAATCTTCTTGTCATGAATGTTATTGATCATCTGTTAATTGTATGGTTTATGAAGCAGAGAAGATACCTAAGATACCTAAGATAAGAACGGTAGGAAAAGGAGCTTGTTTAAAAATAAGGACACAGTAAAGTATATTTTGATTGGAGAATTTAATAACATTTTCTATATTCTGAATAATGCCTATACCTAATTATACATCTACTAATATCAATATATTTTGAATTACATGTTACTACTTTTTGATTGAATTGGGGAAAATTGGTCTTTTATTTTTGCATGTGGTCCTTCTGCAATAGAAGATATCAGTAATGTACAATGAACATGAGACATAATAATTTCAGTTCATTTGAGTTAAACTCTCCAGAATGAACTTTATACCAAAATCTTAAATTTGCACTGCAAATGAATATATATATATATATATACATATATATGTATATATATCCCTCTGTAAGGAAAATATTTCTTTTTTTTTTTTTTAAACGATTTTTATTTATTTATTTATTTATTTATAAAAGCACTGGGTACAGTCAGAAGCGCGGGAGGGTGAGAGAATTCACCAGAGCCAGAGCGGGGAGCAGAACAGGCAGAAGGACCGAAGTACACTGCTGAGGGGAGCAGCGGGCGGCAGGAGAGGTCTGCGCGCCATGTGGGACCCTCCTCCAGTGGCCGGGGAGTAGCCGGGGATCGAACCAGCCCTGCAGAGGCCGCGGCAGCTTCGCAACCCAGCGCGCAACCGCTGCACCACCGGGGAGACCCTGTAAGGAAAATATTTCTAAGGAAACTTTATGAAAATGGAAAAGTTCCAGATATAATTTCTTATAGTTGAGGAAGAAAATGACATTCTCATTAATAACAAATGGTATAGTTTCATGCCAAATGAAACAAGTGTTTGTTGTTGCTATTCAGGATGGAGACCAGCAGTAAAAATAGGCGCCCTAATGCCATTATGCATGCCAAAGAGAGAAACATGTTCACATTATCTCTTAGCTGTAAACCATGAATGGGAGAAAGTGTTTGTGGGAATAAATGGAAAATCATTAGTGCATCTCTTTTAGGAGGGCAAGGGAAAAAGCTAATGCATTAAGGTCAAACTGGCTTCTCATAATATGCTTATCAAACTTATCACGTGGCCCTGCAACCCTCTCATATTCTGTCTTTTTCTTTCCATTATCTGAAGTCTCAGCTTGTAAGAGAGAACAGTATGTCATACCTAAATTCTGTGTTTGAAAAAACTGAACCCACACAGAGCCATTACAATATTGAAGAACAAAGTTGGAGGGCTGATATTACCTGACTCCAAGTCTTATTCTAAAATTATAGTAATTAAGGCAGCGTGATATTAGCAAAAGAATAGACAAATAGATCAATGGAAGAGAATAGAGAGACCAGAAATAGCCCCCCATATATATAAGTCAACTGATCTTTGACAAAGGAGCAAAGACAATATAATAGAGAACAGAAAGTCTCTTTAACAAGTGGTACTAGAACAACCGGACAGTAACATGCAAATTTATACACAGACCTTACGCCACTACAAAGTGAATTCAGAATGGATCCTATACCTAAGTGCAAAAGGATAACTCTCCTTGAAGATAACATAGGAGAAAACCCAGGTGACCTTGCAACATCAAAGTCAGTATTCCTACAGAAATAATTGATAAGCTGGACTTCATTAAAGTTAAAAATGTCTGTCTGCAAAAGGCAATGCCAAGAGAATTAGAAGACAAGTTACAGACTGGGAGAAAATATTTGCAAAACACATCTGATGAAGGACTATTGTCTAAAATATACAAAGAACTCTTTAAAGTCAAAAAATAAAAAAATAACTCAATTAAAAAATGGGCCAAAGACCTTAACAGCTACCTCACCAAGAAAGATACACAGATTATATATAAACATATGAGAAGGTGGCCTGATGCTAGTTTTGAAAATAAAGTTTTACTGGAACACAGCCATTTTTTTTTTTTAAACATATGGTCTAGTGTGCCTTTTTTCTACAATGGCAGAGTAGTATGACAGAAACAATTAGGTGTGAACTATTTTCAGATGGTGATTTCCAGTCACTAATCTAGAAGGAGATGAGGGCAAGAACAGTTAAGAATACATTGAAATAAAAAATGAAAGAGAGCATGTATTTATCTTTTTAATTCACAATAAACAGCTTAAAATTCAAAGTTTCTTGTTTTCAAGAATGCATATTTTCTCACATTTTCAATGTCCTGGACTTAATGTGAATGTTACAATGGCTGTCAAAATGAACTTGTCATACACCAGATAGAATAGGTGTGCCAAGGTTGTTGCTGCCTATATTTGTACAAATTTAACACTCTATAGAAAATCTTTCACCTTTGCCATTTTATTGAAGTCACTTATGTGGCTAGTTGTATGCACTATTCAGTTGTAAGAAAGATGAGTTTATTTCATGATATCAAAAACAAACAGCCTATGAAAATATGAATATGTCCTAGGGAAAAAGCTGTATACTTGCATAAAGTGAATTTATAAGGATAATAATGCAAATGCTGCAGGCTACAAATGGCAAATGTGATCCAGCTTCTATTAAGTGAGATTTGTATGCTTGTTTTTCTTTTCTAGTAAGGGAATAAAAGTCAGTACTTTTTGTAATATTTTAAGGACATAGAAATTCAGTCTTGCTTACATGAGACATTTACACCTGCTTTACCAACTAGCCATGCAGGTGAGATAAAATGGATACTTCATCTCAATTTACACTGTCACAATGTTGGTTTATCCCTTGCATATAACTGCTCAGATCACTGAAAGACTAGAGCAGGAAATAAATGAGAAGTATACTTGTTTCTTTATATACATTTCTACTTAGTCATCTATTTCTCTACAACAAATCTTACCATTTTTCTGGAAGGATATACAGTAAAATCTGATCAGATTTCTCCAAGTTTGGAAATTGCCAGAAACTTTCCACTTTTTCTTATACTTCTAGTTATTTTCTGATTAAAAAAATGGTGTGTATTATTAAGTGGAATAAAAGGAATATAAAAGGAATAAAAATTTTCATTAAAAATAAAAGGCAAATGGCAAATTGAAATTTTTTGTAGCAGATATAACAAATAATTATTATCCTTCCATATCACATATTACAAATTCACCACAAAACATGACTCTCCAGTATAAACATAGTCAAAACTCATGGAGACGAAATTCATAAAATAATTAAAAAAAAGTTAAGGTAGGGCCTCCCTGGTGGCGCAGGCGGTTGAACACTGCACTGTGAAGCTGTCCACAGCCTCTGCAGTGCGAGTTTGATCCCCGCCGGCTAGCAAGAATCCCACATGGTGAAGTAGACCTCTTCTGTCTCACCCGCTGCTCCCCTCAGCAGTGTATTTCTTCAGTCTGCCTGTTCCATTCTCCTGTCTGTCTCCAGTGAATGCTCTCACCCTCCTGCGCATCTGGTCTGTACCCCGGTTCTTGTATAAAAATAAATAAATTAAAAAAATTAAAAAAAAATGTTAAGGTTTCTGGCTATCAAAGTAATGCAATAAAATGAGATTCTAATTTTTCCCTGTCAACGTAGGAAATTATTTTTTAAAGCTAAACAATTCAGTGCAGAGTATTTGCAAATGTTTGGGCAAAACTTCCATTTGTTTTGACTCATGTTTACACATGGAAGAATTTCAGCTAGACTAACACTTCTGGTATCTCTCTTCCCAAAGCTCTCACTCTCCCCTGCCTTTTCTGGGAAAAGGAGTTGGTTTTCTCCATAAAAGGAGGAGGTACCATGTTTCCCACCTCCCACTTAATGAGAGAGTTGCTGAGTTAGCAGGTGAAGCTATATAACACACGAGGCAGGAAATACACTTGGAGAAGACTGGCTTGCTTGCTTCTCTGCTTTGGATTTGCACCAGGGACTTGGGGTCCACAAAGGTGACAAGAAAACAGACACGTGGGGAGGCTGACAATGGCGGCTGTTATCTTGAGTTGTACTTTGATTTTGCTCCTTTTGTCTCAGACTTGCCTGGCCCCTTTCAATCCCTTCCTATGGTTCCCTGCCATAAGGTGTCTTAAACTTGTAGCAATCTTTTGGGCCTCAACAGCCCCGCAGCCCTAATTTGGCTGGGTATTTGCCCACAGGGGGGATAGATAACTTTGGGTATTTTATTGGGAAATTATTATCACTTCTCTTCTCTCTCTATTCACACTAATTCTGTTAAAGTTCTTTTACATAAAGAGTTGCTTTGTCTATGTGCCAGCTAATGGTCAGACCCCTTTAGAGTGTGCCCATTTGAGGGCCCTGGGGTACGCTTCAGTCTGCCAGCTGTTTCTTCTCAGGTACAGAAGACCTCACTTGATATTAGTTCCACATACTAATGTGACATGTATCAAAAAAAGCTTGTTCTAGACATTTGGGAAAAAGACAATCTGAACTTTTGGGGGGCAGGTAATTTTACAATACCAATTTCACAATGTATTTATAAATCTTATAAACATGAATAATAATACAGAACATGTAAAATATTGATAGTATCTTTTGGATTATAGGAGATTTTGCTCCTTTTTTGCTTGACTTTTCCAGTTTTCTATAGTTCACATTAATGAGATAATTAGCAAAATTTTATTAAAATGTAACTGAATGGTAGATGTAGCAAATTAATAACTCTGATTTATGATTCTATTTATAAAACCTTAACCTATAATAGCCGTTGTTAAAAATTATTTTCATGTCTAAGAGAATTTTTAAGTGTAAGGAAGAAAAAATTATAATAAAAATGAGTAGATGTACCATGGGTCAAAAATAACTGGGCTAATATCCTGGCTTTGTTATCTATATGAACTTATATTTCTAAATATCAAGAGATTATAAGACATACCTCACAGAACTATGGAGAATGAAAATCATTTATAAATCAATAAGCCTGAGCTTTTCAACAAGTGGTAACTTAGGTTATAAGTAATATATATATATATATTTTTTAAAAGATTTATTTCTTTATTTATGCAAGCACCAGGTATAGTCAGAAGCGTGGGAGGGTGAGAGAATTCACCAGAGCCAGAGCGGGGAACAGAATAGGCAGACTGACGAAACACACTGCTGAGGGGAGTAGCGGGCGCAGCAGGAGAGGTGTGTCATGCTGTGTGGGACTCTCGCTGGCAGCCAGGGATCGAACCGGCACTGCAGAGGCTGCGGGCAGCTTCTCAGCCCAGCGCTCAACCAATGCGCCACCAGGGGAGGCCCTAATATATATTTTCAAAGGGTTAAGTGTGGTCACACACTAAGTCCCCATTCCTCTAAAGTATTTATTTAGCAATATTTCCATTTAATGAGGAAGGCTTAGAAGCATGAAAATAGAATTAATACTGAATGAACACCAGTTATGGGCCAAATCTAGTGCTAGGCAATTTTCACATGCTATCTTGTAAACCTGTATAGTCCTTTGATTCAATTTTAAAGAAATCTTCCTTTAAAATAATACTTTCAAGGATTCCTTTATTTAGTTCCCCCTGAATTTTTACCCTCTGGCCAAGTGTGGCAAGGTAAGATTCTGGATGGATAAGGGACAGACACTTAAATTTTTTTTTTTTTTTTTTTTGTAAATGAGAAAAGGTGAAAGGGAGAAGGGAAGTGGAAAATACAAACCTGTATGATGCTAGGAAATAGTATGCATAGAGGTAGAGGGTCTGAGAACACATTTCTTTGCAACTATCAATAGAAATATCCCATTTGGAGTATTCAAGTGCTCTTTGGGAGAAACACATTCCAGTATGAATACAAATCTAGGAGAATGGAATGGCTTTGCCCAACATTAAATTTCAAGAGGAAGCGCAAAAAGGAAAGAAGCCAATTAGTACTGTAGATTTATAAAAGAGATAATGATTCATTCATACAATAATTAGAACAATTAATATCTAGTTAAATTTATAAATAATATTAGTATAAGCAATCTCATTGTGTCCTTATGTGAATACAGTGAAGAGATTTGGATAATATCATTTGTTTGAAAAGAAACAGTTTAAAGTACTTGCCTACGCTCATACAAAATTAAGTGGCAGAGCCAGAACAATGCAATCTTCAGGTTCTAAAGATCCTGTATACTAGAAACCATTTGCTATCTGTTACTATATAAGGACTGCAACCATTTGACATGGTTATATTTTCAAAGATTTATTTAAAAAATTCTAAAAAGAATATCACAAATGTTTTTAGTAAAAACAGTATGTGGAATATATAGATTTGTTTTCTTATTGCTCGTGTTTTTATTTTCTGAAGCATCAAGCTAAAATTTCTATTGCTATTATACTTTTAAATCTATGAAGCTTTAAAAGGTACATATAATGACTTGCAATTCATGACACCACAACAATTTCAATGGTCATTGTTTTTAATTTTCACATAAAATATTCAGTACCTTAGTTTTAGATCTGAAGTCTGAATGAATATGAAGTTTATGAGAGTTGGCTGAGATCTAACACTTTCAATTAATTAGGAATTAAAGCTGATAAGTTGGTTTACAAAATACTCTTGTATTTCATGAATTTTCTCTCATTGAAAATAATTGAGATTATTTGTCTATTGCTAATTAAGGATTATTGAAGATAAGAAGATAATAAGAAAATTTTGAGAATAAATATGTGTTAAAATCCAAGCATTTTGCTAAACACAGTTTATTTTGGTGAAATAGAAGTTTCAAGAAATATTTTTTGTTATTTAATGACTTATTGGTTGTATATCTACCTCAAAGACCCTTCAAGATATATCCTATGCATCACATAGGAGGTCCCTTTTGGTGGCATCAAGGTGTAAAGGAAATCATTTATTACCCTCTGGTATTTTCTAGGCTGGCAAATTTACACAAGTTTGATAAGAGAAAAGACCAACAAGATATTTAATAGTAGTATGTATTCATCCTCTGTGCAGGGGGTTAGGGTATGGGTGGAGAGACCCAACATAAACAAGTAACTCACCACATGACTTCAGAATCCTTTTTAAGCAGCTCAGTTAAGAAAAGTGAGGTTATGTGGAGGGGAAAAGGCAGTTCAATTAGGGAGTTTACCAAGGAAGGCACAGTAAGCAAATGTATGCAGATTTACATTCTGTCTTCACCAATGAAAAGAAATAAGGAGATTAGGTCTTTCCAGTTCAGTGAAATATCCTTACAGAGAGAAATTTACATATAATGTCTTTCTCAAATGCAACCTCCACCCAGTCTGCAGACCCCTTCCTATGAAATCATCCTTTTGCCAAAGACATATTTTGGGGTAGCAGATTTTTGCTCCCATACAGGAGCATGGATGACTCCTTACATCCTATCACCAGTAACTAAATAAGGAATTAGAGCTTATTTCCAATCTATGAAAGCCAATGGTAGAGTCATGAATAGTATGGGATATTTATTATACTACAACTTATACATTTGTGATCATTAATTTTATGCATCAGCTTGACTGTCCATAGGATGCCCAAGTAGCTGTGTGTCTGAGAGGGGATTTCTTGTAAGGGGTTAGCATATTATATTTTTTAAAAATTAGATTTTTTAACTTAAGGTAATGTTGGCTTACAATGAAAGTCACTGACAACTTAAAAACAACCTATATAAGAGATTAGCTTTTTAATTGGTGAACTGAATGAAGCAGAGGGGGAGGCCCAATGTGGGTAGACATCATCCAATCCAAATCCAAAACTGAGCCTAAATAGAAGGAAAAGGCAAAGAAAAGCTGAATTCTTTCTTCTCCTGACTATAAAAAATGGGACATCCATCCTTTCCTGCTTGGTATTCCTAGTTTCAGACTGGAATCTACTATACTGGCGCATGACTTTAAACTATACCACTGGTT